TGCGTTTGCACGAGAGTGTGTATAGCACATACTTACATCAATCAAGTTTACGAAAATGTAATTCAACTTTACACTCTAGTGCAGAGGTTCCCAAACTATTTTCTCTCGTAGACCCCTTGTCGTGTTTTTCATTTTTTGGTAGACCCCCAACTATTGTCTTTGAAAAATTTACATTTCTAACAGCAGTAAGGTACCCCTTATGATGTTAGAAAGTTAAATAAAAAACATAATCAATTTGGTTATTAAATTTAAATAATTTAATTATCAAATTTAAATAAAAGTAAAGTAATTCTTACATGAACGAAACCAACAAAATATAAATTAAACTTAAATAAAAATAAAGTACTTCTTACATGAGCAAAACTAAAAAAAAAATTAATTCAATATTATACATATCATTAAACTTTTTCGGTCAATATTATCACATATTATTTTTAAAATACATCACATTTTTAGAAAAAATAAAAATAATTTAATGAGAGGGATGAATTTGATGATTTGATAATAAACTATCAATGTTTGGCTTTAATTTAGTGAGGTTTAACCTCAAATCTCCTCGGTTAATAATATCTAGTTTGTTTCTTTTTTTGGTTATGAGATTCATAACTGCGCTAAACCCCCTTTCTACAAGATATGAAGATGGGAAAGCAATTAAAAACTTTCTTACAACAATCCATAAATTAGGATAAGTAGCAGGTATGTCCTTTTGAAGCCAAAATTGTTGGTATCCCCTTCTAAACTGTACCTTTAGCTCTTCGTTAGTACTAACTCCAATTAATTCCTCCTGTAAGGTAACATCCATTTCCTCAATCTCACCAAATGGATCAATTATCCATTGGGGTATTACAAGCGTTAAAATATCTTCAAATCTAGTCTCAAAATCTGAATATAGCGAATCCAAATGTTGAACATAAATTAAAACATCGTCTTCTTGGCATATTTCCGGTGACAAATTAGGAAACTGGGAAAATTCATAACGTCCGATGTTTTGCTTCATTATCTTAATTCTGGCAAGAAATGCAGAGATTATAGATTTGGTTTTTATTAAGTTTAAATTATCACCTTGCAATTGCAAGTTCACCCCATTAAATTTAGCAAATAAATCAGTTAGATAAGCTATATCTGTTTTTCTATTTACTAAGTTTTCTTTCAAATTTTCATCATGACTTTCGAGAAACTCCAAAACAGTTTCAAAAAGTGCAAAAAATCTGGAGAGACATAATCCTCTTGAAAGCCAGCGTACATTTGTGTGAAAAAGGAGTTGGGTAAAATTTTCATCGTTTTCTTCACACAACTGCGCAAATAATCGCGTATTTAACGCATTATTTCGAATACTGTTAACGGCATCGATCACAAATTGAAGAGATTCATGTAATCTTGAATTTAAATTTTTAGCAACTAAATGTTGTCTGTGGATGACGCAATGAATCGCTAGTACTCCAGGTACATTTTTTTTTAAAAAACTTATAAATCCACGATAACGCCCAACCATGGCGGGTGCTCCATCTGTGGCAATCGATATTATATTTTTCAAAGGAATTTCCTTTTCTAAAAAATAATCCTGTAAAACATTAAATATTGTTTCACCTTTTGTATCAGCAACCAAATTTCTGGCAAACAACAATTCTTCGTACATATTTTCATTCATGATAAAGCGAACATATGCCAATAGCAAAGCTTCATTACCCGGCAAAGTTGACTCATCCAGCTGTTTGGAAAAATTAGTCGTTTTCAAAAATTTGCACAAGAAGCTTTCAACATCACTACTCATTTCATCGATACGCCTTTGAACTGTGTTGTTACTTAAAGGAATTTTTTTAATTATATCAAATGAAGGCTTGTGTAGAACAGTTTTTAAAACTTCTTCAACAGCTGGCATAATTAAATCTTCACCAATGGTATGCGGTTTTCCGGGTTTTGCTATGAGTAATGAAATATTATAGGATGCTCTCAACCCATCATTGTTTTTTTGTGACGTTGAAGCCAACATTTTATCCAACGTGGGTCTGTTCCGAAGTTTTTTTTTAAGACCTTGAAAAAATTTCAAATCTTTATCAACATAATCAGGGTGACATCTCTTCAGATGATCTTGGAGCTTTGACGGCTTCATAGCGTCATTACCTAAAGTTTTGCTGCATATAAGGCATAATGGCAATTGCTGGTCCAATAATGATGGGATAAACCCAAATTTTAAATAATCAACATTGTACTGCCTGCATTTCTTTTTTGATTCACTCATGTTCTGTGGGGTTATCTATGAACAAAATTAATCCATTAACTTTTTAAGAATCTGGCAGTGCAATAATAATACTGATTTCTTAAAAATTAAGTACAAAACAACAAGTACTTATGTACTTATTATTAAGTACTTTTCTGGAAAACAAAATTTTATTCAATACACGAGACCAAAATATGTAATACGAAAGATTTGCTTTAATTTCAAACGGCAAAAAAATGTACAATAATGCTGAACGTAGCCTATATTGAATCGTAATACACTTTCATATATTTTGTTGTTTTTGTGTAGCTGACTTCGACAAAATATATGAAATTAAGAGAAAAAGTGTGCTACGCATCAATAGCGTACGTTCAGCATTTTACATGTATTTATTTGCCTGAACCAACCGTTTATTTTTGAATATTTTTTTACGGACGAAAAAAGTGACAAAAAAAACAAAAAAAATATATAGTTAAAAAACTTTATTTTTCTCTATTTTTTAAGCATGTATCAGTTGAAGTTCGAATTTAAGAAAGAAGAAATGGAATACAAAAAAAAAAAACAAATAATTTTTTTTTCCTTTTCATTTGAATTTTTCATTCATAATTTGTAAACGTTAACTTTGTACTCTGATTAATGTTTTTTTTTTCAAAATTAAAATTAAAAATAAGAAAAAAATAGCAAAAGTTTTATAGAATTTTACTTTTCAGTTTTGTTTTCTAGCAATATCTATATAATAATGTAGCATGTACTTACTGTTCTCCGTAATTCTCAGACAAAATTATATTATTTCACTTTATTTTAATTTAACAAACTTATATTTTTACTTTTTTTTTCAAAAAATCATGATTTTATTACATTCTAAGTAATCTAAAAACACAAGCAATTAATATGCCAATTTCTATTTTTTTATTCTCCAACTAAAACAGTTCCATTTCCACTATATTTCAGTTTATTATTCTTTTCGAAATTAAATTTCAAATTCGAAAAAAAAAAAACAAAAAATTTTCTATCTTACACACACAGTTGAAGTGGGAGTTTAAACGAAGGAAGAAACGAAATGAAAAAAGTAAAACAAATGAAACACACTTATTTTTTTTTCTTTAATTTGAATTTTTTTTATGTTTTTCAGTTTTTTGATTTGAATTTTTCGTAAAAATATTTTTCCGTTTAATTTGAATTTTTGGTTTATAAATGAAAAAGCATATTGTCTTTCAAAAAGGGAATTTTTCATTGTATAGACCCTCATTTTCATTTCGTAGACCCCCATTTTCATTTGATAGACCCCCAAATTTTTTTTTCACCTTCGTAGACCCCCAGCAGGTCTTCGTAGACCCCTGGGGGTCTATATAGACCACTTTGGGAATCACTGCTCTAGTGTCATACAAGCACAATATTATTTTCGATATTTTTTTCTTTATATTTTTTTATTTATACAAAAACCATATAAGACTATTTTTTAACAAAATTCTGAATGTTGTTGGTGTTTTATTATTAGTTATTCAACTGCGGCTCAGGACTCGAAAATACTATTTCGAGAAAAATTGAAAATAACTTACTCAGCCTTATTAATAAACGTGAGAGCGACTAACACATTATAACAGAAGGATTTGTATAGTAATTACCACATTTGTCGAATTTTGATCATTTAATTATTATTGTTGTAGAAGGATAAAATTTTAATTAATAGTTTGAGTTTTACCAGCAAAATAGTGTTAAATCCCTGATAATTTGCAGATCAGAGAAGAAATGTAAAAATTAGCCGACTTTCATATAGGAAAGCAAAATTAATTCCTCATAATACGTGAAGAATTGAAAAATTCTCATTTTTTTATTTTATTTTTTTTTTAACTTTTTATTTATTATTATTCATCTAATTGGAAATTGAATCAAGCCTATAAATATGTAGACCATTAAATTTTGCTCTTACAACTTTAACAATCCCTTCTACAATATTCTAGGTTAGTTGGGTAATAGCCATTCATTTTACAATTTTTATTTCCTGTTATAGAAACATATCGGAAAAAATTTATTTCATTCAAGTACCTCATTTTTATTATATTTTGTACTTGTAAGAGGATTTCAAAATCAAAGAGCATAATTTCAGGCGCATATGTACATATTTTTATAATGTTATCCTCTACAGTAGCATTAAAATTAAAAATTATTACTTATATTTATTAAATGACGTAAATATATATGTTCCATTATATACGTACATATATCATGTATGTTTTTATAATTTCAAATATTTCACGTTGGAACGATCATATAAGGTTGCTTTTAATATTTTTGATGTTAATGGTTTAATGTAATGATTTTCATTATTTTTGTTTTTTTTTTAATTGAAAAATATTTTTATTATATAGAAATCTACAAAATCATTATAATAATTTTTGTGGTATAGAGGAAGCTTTATATTTTCCAAGGTAGAAAATTATACTCACATAACTGTATATTTCAAATAATAATCATCATCATTAACGTTATTATTTTTATCATTAGAATTTTATTTTACTCAATTTTTATTCATTAAAAATTGAATATAGTTATTAAGTAGCTATATAATATACATATATACAAATTATAATATTATATACATTTTCATTTTATATTCAAATTGTAATTATATTGGTATATAAATGTAATATTCTAATAATACATAATATTAAAGTATATTAAAGTATATTAGTTATAATACAGGGAAATAATGGAAAAGTATAATATTTGTATAGGAGAATAAAAAAGTATGTAATATGAAAATAAATATATGTGAACTTACGTATATCAAATCCTTTTGTTACATCGCCCACTGGATATTCAGTAAATTTATATTCGTGTTCATTTGCAATAAAACGACGGATACAACCAATCATACCATTTTGTACTGGTAAACGTTTTGACAAACCGGTAATATTACCAGTTCCGCCTAAAAATACAGGCTCACGGAATGTTATCCTTGAGAATAGGCCCTGAAAATGAATAAAAAAAATATCATATTCTTTGTTAAGTATTTATATTAAAAATATATGTCGATGCGTATGTAGTGTATATACATATATATTTTATTCATTAGTACACTCTTATGATTGATTTTATAAAAGCATTATAATGTTTGGTATACTTGTATAAAATAAAGAGAGTTCGTCACGGAAAATTTATTTTCTCATTACTTGAATAAAGAATACAAAAGTTTATTCACGTTAAAAATAATTATAAAAATAAAATTTAATGAAAATATACCTTAAATAACGTATGTTATTTTTCTTAATGTTACAATTAAATTGAATTTCTATGTTCAAGGTTAAAAAACACAGAAATTATACTCGTATTATAAATTTGATATCGAATAAACATTAATAACACACAAATTATTTGTTAATTTAAATATTTCTTTCAAAATAATATTATTCCACATAGTGAGGTAACCACAGGAACTCCTTTATTTGTTAGTATAAATTTAACACATTCCAGGTTTTTTTTTTTTTTTTATAAACGTTGTTTATTGCAACTAAGTTCCAGTTGAACCTAACGAGCAATTATTTTTTAGCTTGTTTGTTGAGTGGGGAAAAAACTATCCATTGATGGTAACCCCAAAGATCTGTATTCTCTCTTATTTCCCTAGATTGGGTCGGTAGGCCTCCTTCTTCTTAGGCGTCGAGTTTCATTATTACTTGATATTTCACGCATTTCACGATTCTGATGATGTTGAATTCTATTATTATGATTTGTTGAGTGTTTTTTAATTTCTTCTTCTACGGTGTTCATTTTTAGGTTCCTATGAATAGTACTATTTCTCACATACCATGGGGCCCTAACTATGTTGCGTAAGACCCTATTCTGTATGGTTTGTATAGACTGGTAATTTGTTCGTTTCGCACAACCCCAGAGTTGTATCCTGTAAGTCCAGATTGGTTTAACCACTTGTTTATAAATTAGTAGTTTATTGTAAACATTAATTTCTGATTATCTACACAGTAGCCAGTTTAGTTTTTTAATTGCAATGTTTAGCTGGTCTTTTTTCTTTTTGATATGCTCTTTCCAACGGAGTTTTGCGTTCAGGGTCATACCTAAATATTTCGCTTCATTGGCATACGGTAGAGGCCGGTTGTTGAGCACTATTGGGATGTTATTGATTGATCGATTCGTAAAATTGACATGGATTGATTTGTCTTCATTCACCAGAATTCTCCATTTTTGCATCCATAATATTATTTCATTTAATGACTCCTGAACTTTCGCTGTACTTTCCTGCACTGTACTACCCTGAGCAAGGATTGCCGTATCATCTGCAAATGTAGCTATAGTAGACATTGGTGGCTGAGGAATGTCCCGAGTGTATAACAGGAAAAGAACAGGGCCCAGTACGCTACCCTGAGGTACACCCGCTTCAATAGCCTTTAGATCCGAATATTCATCTTTTTCCTTAACTCTGAACGTTCTATTTCTTAAGGATTCCAATATTGCACATATCCTACCTGGTAGGATTTGTAATTTATAGATAAGGCCCTTGTGCGACACCTTATCAAACGCCGGGGCAACATCCAAGAACACACCCGAGCAGATTTGTTTATTTTCCAGCGAATTTTCAATAATATTTGTGATCCTATGTACTTGGTCTATTGTTGAGACTGCTTCTAAACCCGAACTGGTAACTAGGAATTAGATGCTTCTCTTCCATGGTGGGCATGATACGAGTTAGCAACAATCTTTCTAAAACCTTAGATATAATAGGAAGGAGTGATATAGGTCTATAGGATTTCATTTGGTTTATAGGTTTTCCTGGTTTTGGTACCATCATCACCTCAGCAACTTTTCATATTTCAGGAAAGTATTGAATTCTTATTACTGCGTTAAACAAATATAATAACATTTTCAGTGCAATAAGTGGCAGTTCTTTTATTACAGTACCAGTTATGAGATCGAAACCCAGAGCCTTTTTGTCATCTATTCTAGCAATTTCATTTTTTAATTCTTTTATTGTTATTTTCCTAACAGGTGTTACGTCTTGGATTGTACGTTCACAAGAATCTTCATCGATAGTCTGCTGCGGGAGAGGTTTAAATGTATTTTCCAAATAATTCGCAAATGAGCAGGCTTTTTCCAGATCTGTGATAGCCCATGTATTATCTTCTTTCCTTAAAGGAGGTATTTGAAGTCTGGGGTTTTTTATATTTTTGGTGATTTTCCACAATGAATAACCGGAATCTTTCTCCGCTGTTAAATTACTCAACCTGTTTTTGATAGATTCGTTTTTGGCCTCACGCAGCAGTTTCTTAAGCTTATTACTCAATTGGTTCATTCTGGTTTTGTCCAGAGGATAACGAGACACTTTCCACCTTTTGCGAGCTTTTCTTTTTTTTTTAATTAATTTTCTAATTTCCACAGGATATAAATTACGGTAAGTGTTTGGTTTGTATCTTGACGTGTTATTCCACACTGCGTTTTGTACATTTATAATAAATTTGTTGGCTTCTTCTTCTAATTGCTTTGCTGTTCTTAAGGAAGTGTTCAAATTAATACTGTGACGTAGTTCATCTCGGAATCCACACCAATTCGTGGTTTTATTTGATAGTTGCAATGGCTCGTTTTTTAGTATAATTGTTTCACTTACAGTCAGGATGGTAGGAGATAGGTCTGATGTTAAATCAAAGTTTTCATCAACATGGGTGTATCCACTAGCAACGCCCCTCGTAATGAAAAAATCTATGAGATCAGGAGTACGGAGTGGATCTGTAGGCCAATATGTAAGTTTTCCAGATCATAAAAATTTACATTTCAATTGATTTGCAGCTTCCAACAGGGCCCTGCCCTTGGGTGTGGTTACCTTCGAACCCCAAAAGGTGTTCTTAGCATTAAAATCTCCACCCACAATGAAGTTGTTACCCAAGCTCTCAAGTAAGGTTCTATATTAGAGTATTTTGAGGTTGTGTCTAGGCGGGCAATAGATAGCCGAGATTTTAAACTCCTTGTTGTTTAATTTTATTCTAACTGATGCAACTTGCATAATGTTTATTTCTATTTTTGGCTCCACACAGTGCTTAATGTTATTTTTGATAATAATAAATGCACCCCAGGTGACATTCCAGGTGACAATTATATTTAAATGTCAGCTGTCGTTGTGAGAAGTGAGAGCTATAGCATTCGCTAATATAATTGTAAATATTTTTTACTAATTGTTAAGTGTTGCTTATACTTTTTATTAAATAGAAACTGTAGAAAGTATGTTTCACTGCAAATCCATTGGTATTTTGTAATTAATCTTAATTCATAATTTTTGATATGGATTGAAAAGTAAGTTTTAACGGAAAAAATTATATTATTAAACGAGTAAAATAGTTTCGGTCGATCTAAACCGACTGAACTATAAGCTATACCCTGACAATCTGAGTATCAAAACTTATTTTTAAAATATGTAACAAAATATGTCTGAATTAAACGCAACGACTGTTAAATTTTATTCATCTAAGCTTTATTAAGATAAGGATACGCGTTATCTCCGTTGCTATTTATCACCGCTCTAGATGAGTGTATGAAAGAAGTAAATAACATACACAAAAGCATATTATGTGGACTGATAGCCAAGCTGCGGGATCTGGATTATGCAAATGGCATAGTTCTTCTCACGCGCTCTGCATCAGATATGCAAGACATGATAAACAAACTGAAGTGCTCGGCAAGGGAAATAGGGCAACATAAATAATAAGAAAACCAAATTATTGAAAGTAAACACAAGCCAAAACCACATAATAGAAGAGGTAGACAAATTAAATTACCTAAACAGCATTATAGCGATTGTCAAGTACGATATTGATAGAAGCACGGATTTTATCTAAGGCCAGAAGCACATTCGTCAGGTTGTGGCCGGTAAGTAAATCAAACCAAATTACCAGGGGTAAGAAAGCTTAGGATCTACAACGCGTGTGTTAAATCTATGTTATGTTGAAGCCAGACCCGAATCCGTGCAGGAATTACGTGTAAATTTTCAGAATGTATATATACATATAGCATGTAGGATAACCGTTTACAAAGTTTTATATTAATATCTTAATTAGTTTTTGAAATATTTAAAATAATCTCCTTAAGTTGTCGGCTACAGTGATAATCTACTTTGAGTTTAGATGGCGGCTACCCAAACCAGTTGTTCGAATTTACCCAATTACAATAGCACTCGTCCTCGACAGAACAAGAAACAACTTGTGAAGGTTTGGTGTCATTTAAGAATTTTATGCTGACCAGGAATATATGTACATACCGCAGATGACTTTTTTGCAGCTCAATAAATTTTTATATGTCTCTTAATGTGTTTAAAATTACCAATATTATAAAAATGTCATTCCTGTAAACGAATTATTTCGCTATTTCTGATGACATTTTTATAATTTTAATCGCTACATTCCTCCAAGATTCTGGTTATCTTATAACACAAAACTTAAAATACATTGGAATTCGCTATATAATTTAACCAAAGTAAAATTAATTAGTTTTAATTTTTACGGAGATTTTAAAAAAAAATTAATGTCTGCTAGAGTTAGAAAAATTAATATTGAAAGTTTTTTAAATATAGTTTCCTCGATCTAGTTAGCACAACCTATAATAAACATAAGTTATTATTCGATTAACTGATAAACTTTGGCACACCCACTTAAATTAAGCTACATGGGTACATAATTAAATTGATTCAAAAGATAACCAAAAACCGCGAATATTTGATAATTTAATTAGTAAAAAACGAATGCTCATATGACAATTATACAACTTCCTTGCAGTAATTCAAATAATAGAAAAATTACTCAAAAACAAAAAGAGACGAAGATAAGCATTTGAAAGTTATGACCTCACAATAATATTTTCGCACAGGTATGATGACTTTTACCATTGATTACATCAATAAAAGGTGTGGTGTAAATGTTATTGTTCAGTTATTTTTATTTCTTTTTTTAATTTATTTTTATTATTTTAATTAACTTTA